TCGTCATTTTAAAAGCCTCTTTCTTTGCTGTGTGGCTTAACTCTGAACTGCCTATAGATTCACTACTTATACTGCTTACTCTGCTTCATTTTGCCCATCAAGTCTAAGATCCTTTTAGACATTTTATCTGTCATCCTTTGTAGCTTCCGTAAATCCTCGGGAGTGAGAATGTTACTTAGATCATGCATGAGTCTGGAATAAATATCTTAAGACGTGACTTTATCCTCTACTTCCAATTTTTTTTTGAAGTTTCTATACCATAGCATTAACCTTGTCTGAATAATATTACCTAATTAAATACAAAGTAAGTGGTTAACCTACGCGCTCCATAGCGTCAAAAACTTCAGGTGGCGCTACGAAAGCCGGCGCCTCCTCAATGATTTTCTGATGCCGACGTTGGACTGAGCAATCTCTACCGAAAAGACCGATAGCTTGTCCATAGACATCTGCTAGCAATTGAACCTCCAGATGCCGAACATGTTTGGCACAACGCATCAAGAAGATCGGGGAGCCAGGCACTTCATTTTGGACCTATGTAAGTTGGAGAGGGAGATAATAAAAATGGAGTAAGAGTTAGCATAAAAGTTTCATCAGAAATATTTTAATTCGACAATGCATTATCCCTAGCCTAAGTCCTTTCATTGCATCAGCCATGTTTGCTTAAAAAGCAAGTATCAACTGAAACCAAGTCAACCAGACACAAATTCGTTTATAAGTAGGCGTTTCAAGACTACCAGTAGAATATATATATGAGATGCATTTATACTATTTAATTTAGGGTGATAAGGTAGTTGAATTTTTCCACAAGTATATGAGTATACATGACGTTTCTATTGAATTTCCCAAAAGTTATTACCATCCAGGGTGGACTGCCGTTTCGACCTCGCCTAGGTTATACTAACACGTCAGCGGGACTAGAACCATCGCAGTGCGGCGTATTATCTTGACACATTAATTAATACGCAACATTGCCACGAGTGCCCTTGGGTCACATGGCTGATGTAAATTTCAAGGACAGGGCATTTTGACATATAAGATTATGTGTTACGATTGTCTACCAAACAAAGTTGTAGTTTCTATAGCCTCAAAAGATTACTTCAAAAGAAAAATAAGTTACGTGTTCAGTAATTTATGATTTTGGGACCCACAACTGTTTGCAGGCTGTTTTTTGTTTAAATAATCCCATATATATGATTTATTGGTAGTCTTGAAACGCCTATTTATAAACGATAAATAAGTAACGAAGTCAAATACTATATCAAATAGAACTTTGCTTCATCGACAATCCCCCCATAGAATTTGATATGGGAAAATGCCTGGCCTTCCTTGAAATTTAATTTTGCCCTGTGACCCAAAGACAAGTGTAGAAATGTGGTGTAGTGGTTAGCCGGTCGAGATCATAAGCTGCAGTCTCATGGCTCGAGTCCCGCTGGAGGTGTTGATAAGATCAAGGCGAGGTCGAAACTGCAGTCCACCCCAGATGACAATTAATTTTG